ATAGTAACAAAAGGTATAACTATTAGGTGCTTTGGTTATCTGTGTCAATTTTAGTTTATTATGCCGGTACAGTACACGCTAGAAAGCTCCTCATTGATGACACTATGGCAAACGACAGTCATGTTGTTCCCTATAACTTCTAAGAGGAAAATATCTTTTTGATTTTATGGTTAGTTTAAGATCAGAATCATAATAAACAACATTCCTAATACCTAGCGTGACACAGACCATGCGCTCCTTGTTAACGGCTTTAAAAATATTGATAAAAACTACACATTCCCATGCAATAATACCGTGATAAATTTCCAACAAATGCTGACTCTGTTCTGTGCAGTTATAGTGATCCGGTACCTTCTTCATCTGATTCTATTATGCTGCAGGTCAGCAAGAAAAACGCTAACTTACCGTGCCCTCGGCTCTGTCAGTGAGTCGTCTCTGCTGTGCTCTCTAATCCTTCACTGTTGATAGTTTAAGTGCCTGCCAATCACGGACTCCCCATTGCTTTTATACTATCACCTCCCAACCTTGAAACCCTCCTCTTGAGCTTACTGGCCTAAAGAAGGCTGTTTTGGAGAAAATCTGATTATTTCATTATAACACCACTGTTTTAACCTACAGCATGTTTAAAAATAATACTGTGCACGTTGCTTCAACATAAAAGGTAACAATAGGAGTCTTGGCATTAGTACAGCATGTAATGCAGAAAAACTTTTCATTTTATGTATTGATTTGAGCTTTTTTAAGAAGTAAATGTATGCATGGATAAAACTGGGAATTTGATACTTTGCAGGTATGGTGCAATAATATAGTTTAGTAACAAAATTTTCATGAATTCTTTGCTCTCAAGCTTCAGATGGTCTTAAAATACTAATTAAGACTTGCTAAGATATAAAGAATGCCTTGTGAATGGACTAAATGCTCAAGGACTCCTTTTCTTATAGCTTAAACTAGAGTAGACTGGTATTAGTTGGATTTTAGTTGTTATGGTAGCAGGTCGACAGATGGCTCCTCCACCAAGCCTTGCCCAATCTGTGCACATAGGAGGTTTACATAAATCCAAGTGACTTAATGTTGCACAAGGAACACGGCCTTACAGCTAACAACAGTCTGATTACAAAATCATCCTGGCAGTTCTACTGTTTAGCTATGAGCATGGTTGATTTAGCAACTTAATGATAAGCATGACGATATTGTGATGTCATGCCAATTTGGGATGACAGAATTTGTGGCTATGCCATGATTCCATGGTTTGGAATATTTGGCTTTATTTGACTTTATT